GAACCAAAATTAACATTTAACTTATTTATTAATGGTATATAAATGTATATGACTTTTCATTCCTTTTAGCTTGTATTTTATATCTAAAATATTTTCATTTATTTACATTATATTTGATATATTAGATCATTTATATTACTAATTTTATATTTAGATACATATTACTTCAACTATTGTATTTTTTACTATTAATATTGATTTAACACACCTGCACAAAAGAATCCGAATCTGATTCTTATATTTTGGGGAGTGTGCTTCAGTCAACCGTCATGTCCATCCATCTGCTGCTTGCATTTTTTCTTCAATACAATTAACTTTCAGCAACATAGTGATTGTTGCTGAAACGCTCATCCTTTTAGCAACCTCTTAGGGGCACGTTTCACACACTCTTTACTTTCTACACCATTCTTCCCCCTAAAACATTACAGTCATATTTCCTCTCATCTCTCCATCTTTCTACTTTAATTTGCCACAATCTGAGAAGGCAATTAAGAATTTTCAGGTTTATTTACAATAAAAGTTTTCATTTTTTTTCATTCAGTAAGGTAAGTCTACCATCTTCCTATTGTTTCCTTATAGTTTTTTCTACCCTCTTTATTCCTATAATTTAAATCCATTATCTTTTGTGTTCATAATCCATTTCTGTTTTATACTTGATAAATTATCATTTATATACTGTGACAGAAACTTCTGCAATTTGCAAGTAGCATTCCCTAATCGCCCTTCATTTGTATTTCAAGAGTAAGTTTTATTTCTCATTAGTTTGCACCCATTATCTTCGTTATATTTTAATGTTTTCTTGTATATTATAGTTTTTATTTCTATCATGGATGAATTTGAAGTATGTTATTTTTTACTTATTATTTTTATTATATTATACATAACTTATATAAAAAAATATAATAGTTAATACAGATATTATTATATTGTAAATACACATTTGTTATAAAAAAATTAAATATTAATTCGAAGTGTTCGATTTCCTTAGATGACATTTTGAGAAGTTTTTCATCAAAAATAAGTAATGTTTAAACTCCAAATTTTGCCCCATAAATTTGAAGGGTGTGCACACTCTTCATCTCATAATTGGTTTATTAAATTATAATCCCTAAACTATGAAAAATATACCGTAATAGTCCTATTACGTAACCGTTAACTTTATTGGAATTTGTATAATTTTAAATCCTTCAACTTTTACCATAAGTACATTTCTATCCCTCAACTTTTACTATATGCACAATTTTCTCCCAACCCCAAGATAATTTACTATA